TGGTGGGCTGGATCACTTCCGGTCACTGCTTCCGTCAATGGCACTCGCTTACTTAACCGACCGTTCAGCATAGTGTAAAAAAACACGAGTCTTTTTGATATTATAACAGGCGTTGTGCCGAATTCCGACTCGCGGACAAATCTCACGCCCCTTCGCGTGCACGCGCCTCTCACATAAATACGCGCTGAAGCGAGTTTGAATGCACTTCCTTTGCCATATGCGTTTATCGATTGATTTTTCTCACAGCAAGCACCCAGATCCTGCATGAAAGCTTTGTCTACACTTACATAAATTAACAGAAAGTGAACTAGTGTGGATAAAAGATGCAAACAAACAAAAACGTATGGCAGATCGATTAAAACTATAAACTTCGACGGGTAAAGCTACCATAATAAAGCTACCAGCTGTCAAAACATAACTGTTAATTTCACATAATTTAACTGAACGTAACTTTTGTGTGTTAAACATGTGGTTCATAAGAAAATATTGTATCACTCTCCCCATTGCACAAGAATGTCATTAAAAATAATAATATTTAACCTTTTTCATGAAGATAGGCTCATTTTATAGAACATTTTTCAGATTTTTCTTGTCGGCAAACATTTTGAGATGGGTCTGTCTGCGGACTGCAAGAGAGGGGCGTAACTTGAAGTCGGGCGTAACTTGAAGTTGGGCGTAACTTGAAGTTGTCCAAAAATCACACCGAACCACGCGATATGTCAGAACGAGATGTTGTTGGCAAGATGCACTGATAGATCAGTGGCAAGATGGCAGTTCGTTTAGAGACAACGGTAAGAATATTTTCCACAGATAACCGTTTAAAATGAAATGTGTCAGTCATTTTCATACACATTTTGGTATTGTTTCTAGAGTTGATAATCTATTAAAACTTATCGGTCCTCGTTTAAAGTTAAGTAAGCAATAGTTTTTTACGGTCTAACTGTTAAGTTATTGTTGCCTTGTCGTAATGAGTTCCTTGTTAAAACATGTTTTAATGTTGCATGAACACCCTCCCATTTCGAACTTGAGTTTAATGAGCTCGTAATTACGATTTCAGAAGTTGTAAATATCTAATTTCTGATAGCACGTGAAGGCATGTTACAAGATGGTGATCCTGCAATTTGCACCCTTGCACTCACATGCACTCGGTTCTGGAGGATAGTGAGAGAGGAATCCTTTCTGAAGGAAGCACACTTCTGCTGGCTAGACAGTAAGTTATGTCTCTTTCCTTCTGCCCTCCTCCATATTTTTAGAGGTAAAGCCCCTCTGAGCTATAGGTGAAAGTCTCCCACTCACAGCATCACTCAACTAGGACATGCAGGCTTGCCGCTTTTTACATCGCAGCAAGGGCAAAGAAAAGCATTTGGAACTTTGAGCTACTCAATCTTTGTCCCACAGATGCCAGCAACACAACACATTAGATGGCCCCTGGAGTGGTCACTTGCCATTATTAAAATGTAAATGCATGTTGTACATAGATGTTGCCTAATTTATTCTTTTCTATACCAGTATACCAGTTTCCTTTGTGATTTTTGTGCAGCTGTGGTGCTTTTGAGTGACGATTCTACATTTGTCCATTTATCTATGTCTGGGCCTAAGTTGTGATTCAAGTCAAGGTTCTAGTGCTAAAATTATTTTAATCATCATAATATATTCTACACTAGACTAATACTTTTTTGTTTTAGGCAATAAGTGTATCTTTTAATTGCTAAAAAAAAAATCTTGTGGAGGCACACCACTAATAAAATGAATACTGAAGACACACTGCTACCAGAAAATTTCGTATAAAAAAAAATAAAAAAATGCAAACATGTTTTACACATACTACTTTTGTCATCAGGTGTGGTAAACTGGAACTCCTTTTCAGAGGACCATAGGACTACAGAGTTCCCTATGGTCTCCCGTTGCATTCTATGCAATGACCTGTATAAAGACTGTGAAGGATACTGGGGATGTGGACGAAGAGGAAACCTACAAGGGTTCTACTGTGAAAATGACTTTGCAGGATACTGCAGCATGGACTGTTTTTTTTTTTTTGCGGCTGGAGGCACGGTCTGATTTTCCAGAAGTTCAGAACTTATAGGTTGTGTTTGCATAAACCCTTGTTGTCCTTCAATAAAAGTTTTTGTGATGACTGTGCTTGTAGTTAATTTGTCTCAAAGTATTATAAGATGTGTTTGACAGCGGTGCATTTAACTGTTCATTAGTGTTGTCAAAAATGAATTGTCAGCACATCAGGCATACGACATGGAAAGATGTTTAAAAATATTTATATAAAAAAACATTACATTGCAATATGGTTTCTAGCAATACATTATCAATACATTGGTGCTAATGCAGATTGCAACTTGCTTTGCTGTATACAGACAAAACAAAATAAGAATTTTGAAGATATCATCTCAGAGGTTTCTGTTATGTTAAACTCGTGCGAGAGCATAATGAAACTGTTCTGGAGGTAATTAACTGTTCTCGTTTATGTTAAACTCGTGCGAGAGCATATGAAACTGTTCTCGTTTATGTTAAACTCGTGCGAGAGCAAATGGAACTGTTGTCGCGGTAATTTGGAAGTAGGCATAACTTGAAGGGGCGTGACTAAAAGTGGGCGTAACTTCAAGGGGCGTAACTTGAAGTCTTGCTAAAGTGGGCGTAACTTGAAGGGGCGTAACTCGAAGTCTTGCAGACTGCAGACAGATACTATTACTATTGAACATTTTGGCCAAATAATGGACCATTAGGCTATACATAATTCTAAAAACAGGGTTATTTCAAATTGACAAGCATTTATTTAGGATCATTTTGGCATTTAATACCAGAACGAACATCAATAATTGTATTATAGCCTATACTCTTAAAAATAAGGTTAGTTAATAAGGTTCTTTATTGGCATCTTTGGTTCCATTAAGAACCTTTAACATTATATTGCACAAAAGGTTCAGAATCAGATTAATAACATGTTTTTCTACACTAAGAAAAAAACGGTTCTTGTATGGCATTGTTGCAATATATATATATATATATATATATATATATATATATATATATATATATATATCATAATTGCATAATACATAATACTTCAAGTCTGCTAAATGTATTTTTTAGCAGACTTGAGGCATTGTGTGTGCTATTAAAAAAAAACGTAAAAGTCTTTTACTTGTAGGCATTTCATTTCCCGATTGTTTTCTCTCTCTCTCTCTCTCTCTCTCTCTCTCTCTCTCTCTCTCTCTCTCTCTCTCTCTCTCTCTCTCTCTCTCTCTCTCTCTCTCTCTCTCTCTCTCTCTCTCTCTCTCTCTCTCTCTCTCTCTCTCTCTCTCTCTCTCTCTCTCTCTCTCTCTCTCTAACCGTGAGGACATTTGTGTGTCCATACTGCCAGGATAATGGACTGGATGAACTCAATCTACGCGATCAATGCAATGACCGTCATGCTAATGACAGTAGACGTGTGGTCAGTCAGGGTTCATAGAGTGATTCTAATATCCAATGTGTTGGATTAAACTTGCATCGCATTCATTTGAAACATTAACTAGTTCCTTTAATTTCATTCCAGTCATATTTATCTCCGCATTCTAATTTGAGAAAGTATTTTAACCACACCCTTCAGTTTGAAATGACTCAGCAGTGCTGACTGGTATACACTCAAGATTGTTGTGTGTCCTCTGGCGCCCTCTAGGTGTGTCCAGTGTGTGTGGCGACACCTCACGGTGATCCGCAGTACTACAGCCGCGACTTCGTAGCCCACCTCAACCTGCGCCACTGCTACTACATGGACGATATAACTGTAAGTCATACACGTACACAAATTAAAGAACTTTTCCCAATAAATATTTACACACACTGTCAATATTTAACTGTAATCCTTTATTTCTCTGATCCGCAGAACCTGCACCAGACCGATGAGATGAACCTTCAGTGTGCAATTCTAGCATCATGAAAAACATTTAGAGCTCATTTTCAGAAACATAACATGAACAACACTGTTCTCTGGGGTTTTTTTTCTGGACAGCATCTAAAATCAGTTTGTATACAAGATTATGGCATAATCGTGAACAACAGTTGAGAATTGAAAGATAAGTTGAAGATATGATATTGAACTATTTTACCAATAGGCTGTGGTTAGAAATTGATTGAACTGCTATTAAAGCAACAAAAAAAATGTTGATTATCTGATTAAGATGTGTTGTGTTTTCATATGACACCATTTCATCATATAAATTTAAGTTCTTTTCACATTTTCATTCTAGCCAGATCATGCCTTAACAAGATTTATCAGATGAAAACATTTTGCACAATTTAGCTGTTCTTGCACTTTCTTTTTATAGATATAAGATATATAGTGTGCAATGCACACTTTTTGTAGGATTTAGGATGTATCTGTGGAATAATGTTTGAATTAATTATTTGAATGGCTTCAGGGTCTGCATCCTGCACTGTAAAATATATTTGTGAAATAAAAGTTTCTACTGTGAAACAACATTCTGTGGAATTTTTTTCATCGCAGACTTCAGGAAGTGTGTGTTTATAATTTATATAGTGTGCAATTAAACCTCAAACTCTTAGCCAAGTCATTATCAATAGGCTAACTACTTTTATCATGTAATATCTTGGTGACCATCAGTGTAATAAATCCTATCCTATCAGCTGCAGGCTCTTATCAATGCAGACTAAGCTCTTAAGAACTATAAATTGGTTCATACACATGTACACTGATATTTTGAAGAGAAGACCTCAAGAGTAAAGCGATCTCATGGCATCTCTCCATACATTTCTCATTCTATTCTTATGTACCGCGGTCCTGGGTTTGGTGAGTCTAGAATTAACTACTTTCAGTGTCAGGATATGTCATAGAAAACCACAATTTTGTGATCATATAATACATGTTAAACAAAAGGAAGTTATTTTAGAGCACAGCTACTTTAGTTAAAATGTATTGATCCTGTTCAAGGCTGAATGAGTTTTATGATGAATTTGTTATTTCACAATATCAAGGCTTGCACCGTCATTATTTGTTGATGTAAATGCACACCTTTGACACTTTCCTCAAATGTTTTCTTTCAAAGCCAACATCTTTTCTGTCAGGTGAGTCATTATAATCACATTCTTTCAAAACCACATTTGATTTTAAAGGATTTTATATTCTATGCTCTGGATTTTGACTTTCTTTTTTGTAGGCAAAACAGAGATTGATGTAGATAATGGAAAAGACCAGGATATATTTGAAATAAATGAAGGTTTGTGGGAATATTAATATGCATCTTGAATCTGTATTTCGTTTATACATTTGCAGTAACCGCTGTGTTGTTCAACAGAGGCAGGACTTCACCTGGTGGAAGGAGACATTCTGATAGAAAAGGTCAGTGTTTTATAAAACAGATTCTCATGGTACTTTCCATGAAGTACAAAATAGGACCAGAAACCTGTCTAGAAAATATATATATATTAGGAAATGCTTAACATTTTAGAAAATGTTTAACAAACCTCAGGAAAGTCAAACTATTTTTTTTTTTTTTTACATTTAAAGTTTAACTGTTCATTTTTTATTAGGTCTGTAACTAAAATTTAGGCCATGTAAATACAGTTTGTGTAATAAACAAAGAATTAACAAACTTACAAATTATTATTATTATTTTTAATAATTAAAAAAAACTTTTAGGAGATGCTTATCTGTAATGACGGGTCTACAGGATGAGGATCTGCAGTTTTATTAAAAACCAGAGTTATAAAGGTGCAGTCTACAATAACAGCGTAAACACTAACAAACAGTAGTCCAGGCAGTAGCTACAAACGTGCAGAGTCCAAATAGCAGGCAAGGGTCAAGGCAGACGGCAAGAGAATCAAATAGCCTAGTAAGTCCAAATCAAATCAAACACAACACGGGTTTAACACTAGCCACTAAGAATAAATGCTCAGAAAAGATCCACCGAGGCAAATCAAGACTTCGCAAAATGTGTGCGGTGTGATCTGCTTAAGAAGTGTGTGTGTGTGTGTGTGTGTGTGTGTGATGAAATGCAGGTGAGAGTGCAATCAGTCCCAGGAATGAGGGCCTATGGGAAATTAAGTCCAAATGAGAAAGACAATATTCGGATGATGGCTCCCTCTGGTGGTGCGAAGTGAGGCCGTGCGGGAGCCTCACTTGTAACAATAACATTCCGAAAAAAAGTCAAACTAAATAAATATATGAGCTGTTTTCTAATGAGGTTTGTAACTAAAATCTAGGCCATCTGAGAAAAAACAACAACATTGCTTTTAAATTTTCAAGCAATAAACATGACCAACATCAAAGTAAAATAATTTTAGGAGATGCTTAACCTTCAGAAAATGAGTAAACCTCAGGATGTCAAACTCAATATTATTTGAGCTGGGGTTTTTTGTTGTTGGTGTTGTTAATAATTTTCTATGAGGTTTGTAAAAATCTGGACGTGTAAATAAAGTTCATTATTTTTCAAGCAAAAAAATAAATAAATAAAAAATAAATAAAGGGTAATTTGCAAATTAAATAACATGGATGTGTAAATGAAGCTAAATCCATGTTTGATTTGTGTTTAACAGGGAGAAGGCAGAAACACTATTCTGGGTGAACAGTATCGCTGGCCTACCACTGTGCCGTACTTCCTAGACAGCAGCCTTGGTAGATGAATCTATAAAATAATTGATTCAGTTCAGTTGAATTATTGCTTTATCTGACATACTCACTTTAAGTTAATCTTTTAAAAAGTCTCGCTCACTGTCTTTCTCTCTTTTACATGCTCTTTCACTCATTCGTATGTAATTTTCAACAGAGATCAATGCCAAAGGTGTGATACTGAAAGCATTTGAGCAATACAGACTCAAGACCTGTATTGACTTCAAACCCTGGGGTGGAGAGCCAAACTACATTTTTGTGTTTAAAGGCAGCGGGTGAGGAAACGTCAAACATTAAACTCAATAATCAAGTCTGTCCACATAATGGATGGAACACATTGTGCCCTCACATTTCAATACAAAAACAGAAAAAGTCATACCTTTTATATATATATATATATATATATATATATATATATATATATATACACACACACACACACACACTCACCTAAAGGATTATTAGGAGCACCTGTTCAATTTCTTATTAATGCAATTATCTAATCAACCAATCACATGGCAGTTGCTTCAATGCATTTAAGGGTGTGGTCCTGGTCAAGACAATCTCCTGAACTCCAAACTGAATGTCAGAATGGGAGAGAAAGGTGATTTAAGCAATTTTGAGCGTGGCATGGTTGTTGGTGCCAGACGGGCCGGTCTGAGTATTTCACAATCTGCTCAGTTACTGGGATTTTCACGCACAACCATTTCTAGGGTTTACAAAGAATGGTGTGAAAAGGGAAAAACATCCAGTATGCGGCAGTCCTGTGGGCGAAAATGCCTTGTTGATGCTAGAGGTCAGAGGAGAATGGGCCGACTGATTCAAGCTGATAGAAGAGCAACTTTGACTGAAATAACCACTCGTTACAACCGAGGTATGCAGCAAAGCATTTGTGAAGCCACAACACACACAACCTTGAGGCTGATGGGCTACAACAGCAGAAGACCCCACCGGGTACCACTCATCTCCACTACAAATAGGAAAAAGAGGCTACAATTTGCAAGAGCTCACCAAAATTGGACAGTTGAAGACTGGAAAAATGTTGCCTGGTCTGATGAGTCTCGATTTCTGTTGAGACATTCAGATGGTAGAGTCAGAATTTGGCGTAAACAGAATGCCTTGTTACCACTGTGCAGTTAATGAGAGTTAGTTGACATAGTTGCAAAGGCAGGCCTACATAGTAAAATGTCTAAAGTCGACCTTCGAAATAAAGAGTTGCCTAATATTTTATGCCAGTAATAGCATTTAAAAACTTTTCAGGCATGTGCAAGCTGCAACAGTACAAGGGACTTTTTCTTTCCGCCTTGGACTGACTGAATCCGAAGGGGTGTTTATTTTTGCAACAACGTGAAATTCAGGATTTTTCTCTGTTCCAGATGTTACTCGAAGGTGGGGAATCGACAGATGGGGAAACAGGAGTTGTCAATTGGTGCAAACTGTGACCGTTTAGGAACAGTAGAGCATGAGTTTCTGCATGCGTTGGGTTTGTGGCACGAGCAATCCAGAACTGACAGAGACGACTACGTCACCATAGTGTGGGACCAGATTGAACAGGGTAATAACTGAATTCATAAACATGTTTCATGCCATCGAATAATAAGTCTCTTTTTAGTGATTTCATTCTATCATGCCAAACTCTTTACTTTATATATTCTATTATTACATGCAACCGTTTCCTGGTTTAATTCTCACTTAGGTAAAGAGCACAACTTCAATTTATATGATGAAACGGTGTCAAGCTCTCTCGGTGTGCCCTATGATTACGCTTCGGTCATGCACTACAGTAAGACGTCCTTCAACAAAGGCCAGGAGCCAACCATCGTTACCAAGATACCAGAATTCTTGGATGTGATTGGTCAACGCATGGAGTTCAGTGACAGTGACTTGCTCAAGCTAAACAGGCTATACAATTGTAGTAAGTTTATGATTACAGTTTCTGTGGGAGATTGGTTGACCTTGACTGGTTAAATAATAATTTATTATAAATATAATTAAATTAGTCTGACTGGTAAGATAAAGACTACTTGCTCAACTAATACTTGGCTTTTCTCAAAATTCTTCCAGCTACAACCTCAACTTTTCTGGACTCTTGCCACTTTGAGGAACCGAACATCTGTGGTATGATCCAGGGAGATGGTGGAAATGCCAGGTGGGCTCGTGTACAAACTGTAGAGGGCGGTCCAATGACGGACTACACCACTCTGGGTCAATGTCAAGGTATGAACACCCCTAAACACAAAAGCAGGATTCAAACCGACAATGTTTTGCATTGATAATTTCCTTTTTTTAACCACAGAACTGTTGGTGACGAAACTTCATAAGTGAGCTAACAAATGCTAACTGAGCTATCGTGCAGCCGTTGTGAAATCTCATTGGTCCAAAATCCCCATAACATAACCTCAAATTATTATTATTAATATTTTCTGTCCAAAATCGCATAATGTCTAGTTGGAACTAGTTTTAGTTTCTAGTTGAAACTTACTTTGAGATCAGTTACGTCGCTTCACTGCTATTCATAAATCCTCTCCTGTGGCCTCATGGGATAGTAAAGTGTTCATCACATGCGCACTTCGTCGGAAGTGGTAAGTCATCCGGTATAGCCTACTTTTTACCTACTGTTTTATAAATTGTATAAATATGGGCATAATAGTATTTTCACTACTGTTCTTGGAGTAACGTTAATAGAATGTTCGTTCAAAGTTAGCTCGTCCTTAATGTTCTCAAAACATTTAAATGTTACTACCTGTTTCAGAGAACATTCAAAAGTTTCCCATAATGTTTGCAAAATTATAGAATGGAATGTTCCCTTAACGTTTACATTTTTGTTCAAAGACGTAAAAAAAACATTTAGATTTGGACATTTTGAATGTTCAGGGAAGTTAGCTGTGGTTTCATGTGAATAACACTCACATAGCAAATATTTAGTCAACTGACAATTTTTTTAAATCTTTTTTTTCAAGCTAATTTAAAAAAGTATAGTGTTAAGAATGTGTAATACTGTAAGATGTAAAACGCATTTACTTTTTTATATTTCTGATGTTAACTATCTGATTAACGATGCGGGAAAAAATAGTCTTATCATATCATACCTAGTTAGGCCAAAGATTCTCCTAAATGGGACAGTATCACGTGGAAAACATATTTGTTTAATAAATGTTGTCTGTTTACCACCATTGTGTAAAAAGTTTAATAATTCAAAGTCCATAATCCTGCATTGATAAACTCTTTTATGATATTATTATGGTGGCACTTTGGTCTTCATGATAAACATATTTTACCGACACAATAAGGAAATCTCATTCTTTGACCTTTTCTAGACTTCTTGTAAAGGCTATATGACATGCAAAATGATCTTTATACTCCATTATAAGGTTAAACGAGGTGTGAGAAAGTGAAAAGACTGGCTTAGCTTATCATCTGATAAAATGTATACTTTTACAGGGGTTGGATTCTTCATGCATTTCAGCACAGCCACAGGTACCCATGAAAACAAGGCTTATCTGGAAAGTCGCCTGTTTTATCCCAAAAGACGCTCCCAATGCCTGCAGTTCTATCATTACAGCAGTGGGGGCGCCGATGACCAGCTAAACATCTGGGTGCGCGAATACACCTCTGAAAATCCCAAAGGAGATCTGAGACTCATTAAGAAGATCAGTGGTAATAAATCCAATTATTTATTTAAAACCTCAAATCAAGAAATATTTACTGTGAAAGGTGGGGTCACATGTACCGTTGCTCAGCGAAAATGTGCAGACAAAACCCAGTCATTCCAATAGAAATCTGCTTGATTGGGAAAAAAGTTCCCCATGCACGCAGATTTCACTTGTGTTCAAGTTAGCCACGCCCACGTAAATTCAACTGACTCTTGACCAACAGAAAGCTGCTTGGTTTGAAAGAGACTTCTGTGTGAGCTGCTTTATAGCAGACGTAGATTTGACCAAGTAGGCAACAACATGTTCCTGGATCAACGTCTTCGTTGATCCTGGAAGATTTGAAGGACAAGTTTACAGTTTATGTCAAGTTTAGGGTTAAAACCAGGGTTAGGTGCATCTAAATCAGTGTTATTCACCTATCATTTCCCTCTGATTTTAGGGATAACTTATGGGAATACGTAAGGAATAAATTTTCGAACAGGAATGTTGTTCCAGGATCAACAAAGATGTTGATCCAAGAACCTGTTGTACTTGGTGAAATCACATTCTGCACTTTAGCACATCTCTCTCTATTGACAGTGGACATTTTTAAATTTGACTAAAGTGACCACGCCTTAAAGGTGTGGTCACATTTACCGAAATCTAGTCGTTCCAATCGGGATCCACAAGTTTGGGAGTTTTGTGTGGGGGCGAAAAAGTTCCCCACAAATGTATCACTCGAGTCCAAGTTGGTTACATGAATTCGACGCACTGACCAACAGAAAGCTTGTTGATTTGAAAGTGATTTCTGTGAAATTTAGTGACCACACCTTAAGGATAAATTGTTATGCTATAGGTAATGTATACTTGTGCTATTTAGGTGGCCTTAAAGACTCCTGGGAACTATACCATGTGACGCTAGATGTCTCTGTTAAATTCAGAGTGGTGTTTGAAGGAGTTAAAGGAAGAGATGTATCAAGGGGCGGTCTTTCCCTGGACGACATCAACCTCTCAGAGACCCAGTGTCCTCAGTTCACTTGGCGTATTCGAGATTTTACCACTCTTCTTGCTACAACCGCTGCCGGCGCCAAAACCTACAGCCCCCGCTTCCTAACCCCAGATGGTTACTCATTTCAGATTGGTTTGTACATTAATGGCTTGAATAATAGCCCAGCTAAAATGGCAATCTACCTCCACTTGACCTCTGGACCTTATGATGACAATCTCCAATGGCCGTGTCCATGGCGACAAGCATCCATGGAGCTGATGGACCAGAATCCAGATATCCAACACCGCATGAACAACATTAGGATGATCACTACTGATCCAACCAAGACCTCCACTGACTGTAAGATATAAAAGGGGAGGCATGAAAGCAGCAGATTTTAGGCATTTTTATGAGCCATAAATGCTTCTACAGATACTTGGTACTAGATTATTTAGGCTACATTCATTCAGATAAGTTTGTAAACTGCGTATTCACTTCCAAACACTCTCCGTCCACACTAGCGTATCAAACATTTTCCATGAGTTTCTCACAGACTGTAAAAGAAGATGGACGTTGCACCTTCACACTCAAGTAGAAATTGTAGAAAAGTGAAGCAGCCAATGTCCAAATAGGGTCACTACCTGATTTCCTAATCCTAACCCCTCCTCCACAACTAATCCTAAACCTACCAATATTAGAGGGGGGGTAATAATTTGGCGGGGTCAGAATTAGGCACAACACCGGTATAACCATGCGTATACTGTGGGTACAATATGCATCCCATGACAAAACATACGTAGAAGTTTTCAAAATCCACTCTACAATGCAGAAACAAAATTTTCTGATTTATCCACTTAGGGAAGCGTCTTCAAAAAGCTCAGTTTTCACAAGACAAAAATGCCAAAAATTAAAGAAAAACATGCATTTTTAAATCTTAATTTTAATTAATGTATACCTAGCCTTAGTGATAAATGAAAAGAAAAGCCTTTTTACAAATAGTATCTTCTCTCTTTTGTGCAGCCATGGGTAATGTGAAGTATATCTGGGATGACCCACGAAAAGTAGGCAGTCGAGTGACTGACACAGACGGCAGTTCATTCTACCGGGGACCCGGTTCTGGAACCAGCAATTACATCACACATGATCGACTGAAGAGTCGGAGCTTCATTAAAGGAGATGATGTCATCTTCCTCCTCTCCTTTGAGGGTATGTGAGCAGTATGTTTTTATCCCATTCCTCCGAAATTCCTTTGAAATAAAACAGAAGTTGACTTAAGTTTGAATGTGTAACTTCGTCAATAGATGTGACTGGACTTTTGGAGCCTCAGTCGAGAGAGTTTTGGAGACCGGAAATCAGAGATCAGCGATTACAGATTGAGGACTCCAATGGAAGCTCTATAACAACGGTGGCAGTAAGCGTCTTTGTGGGTGCTGTCATGTTCCTTGGTCTTGTTGCGAGTGTACTGTTCTACGTGCAACGGAGAAGACGGCAGATAAAAAGAGAGATTGAGCCAGAGAGGACGGATGGTTGTGAGTGTCCATTTACCCAATTCAGTTCTCTCATTCCACACCTGATAACTTAAATATTAAATGCATCTAACTACTATTATACTGAATTTTCTCTTACAGCACCCCAAATTTCCACAGTGGACAGTGGACTACAAGGCAGGCCCTAATGACATCATGAATGCAGAATATATCATGAAGCCTCAGTGGAGAAAAAATATATATTTTCTGGAATCTGCCCTTCATTACTGAGCTTGATCTATGGAATCATAACTTGCCTTAAATTTATAGAACTCAAAAACCTAAAATAAGATTCAAATAAAGAATAAATAAAAAGAATAAAATAAAATGCACAATCAAAAAAGCACAACCATTAATGCTCACACAATTTATTAGTCATTTGTTACAAAGTGCTGGCATATAAATATTTGCAATGTTATCTACATTTCTGAATTTGCAAAAGCTGCAGCGGTCTATTGGCAATCCTTTAGATGAGAAACACCACATTCTCTGAGAGCATGACCTGGTTGTCATCCTGCATGCGCTCCAGCAGAAGGTTAATCTCGTTCTGGTCAAACTCCTCATCCTGGTCTTTGTTAATGTGAGTCAGGAGATCAGGCACTGCCACAGACTGAGTCCGGGTCACCTTAAAGGCCTTCAGTAGAGCCGCCTTGAAGACTTTCAATCTAAAAATGTTGCAAAAGGTCACATGAAAGTCTGTCAAAAATCAGTCTCCATATCTAATGTCCAGTTAGCCTGTTGAACTGACAAAAAAAAAATGCAAAAGGAGAAGAACCAACCAAATTCTAATTTATTATTAACATCTTCATTGTTGGACAGAAATCAATGTCAAGAAGCTGACAATATTTTTTATACTTTACCTTACTTTCCACAGTGGGGTATTTGGGGTAGAGAATGAGATATTACAAGTGTAGTCTGGTGGAAAAATTGTATCAATGTGGTGCAAATTCAAGTAGTGGAAAGAATAATGTGGGAGAAAGAAAAATATATATATATATATATTTTACATTATTGGAACAGGCCAGCATGTGACATCTGAAAATGAAGAAGACTCTGTTGTACCTGTCCTGACTGATGTCAACCTTCTTCCTCTGACTGCTCTTCTGAGACACTGGCTTGCTCTTCTGACTCGGCTGAGCTGTCGTCATTAACATCATCAAAATCATCATCATCACATTTGAGTTCCAGTTTCAAATTTATAATGCCACTGAATATATTCAAAATATTAACCCTGTAAAGCCTGACATAAGAAAGTCAGAAAAAGTAAGATGAATTTATGATTGATTGTAATGCAAATCAATTCAATATTTATAAGAGTATACTTGCACAAACAACAGTAGACTACTTGCATAAAACACATACATTTCAGTTATCCCTATATATCTTAAATGACATCTAAATGCTTTGTTATATGATTTTATGATTAACGTAGTTTTTATTGTTTAGGACAGACATAATGCAATCCAATACAATGACGTTTGAGAGATCTACAAATATACATTATATGACATTTTTCTAAAAATGTATATATATGGATAATCAAATAAACCCAAGTTGCTTTAGTCCAGCAAATGTTCATCTTAAAATATTGCTAGCAAAATAAGTTATTTTTTACATTTAGTTTTGAAGCTCAAAAAGACCACAACACAAAGTGAGTGTTATTCGAATTATACTAAAAGGCCTTTTACTTACAGAAAAGCATAAACTATCAATCAGACGAAAGGAGGCATGCAGAACAGTTTTTTTTAGCATCGTTTTGATCATGTTGAAAGCTTAGAAGTCTTGCAATTTTACGTAACAGATATGATACAGTAGGCTTTACAGGGTTACAATTCAGTGTAGAGATATTAACTGGGTTGAATAGCCTTGACCATTTAGTACAACAATTGAACAAGAACCTGCATTGGTTTCTAGCAAAGCTTACTGAATCAGTTGACCTACTGTTTTCCTCTTCGGTGAAATCATAAGGGTCAGAGTCTTCTCCTTCTTGAGTCATTTCCACATCATCATCATCTTTAGAGATGCGAGAACGCTTCCTGCAGACAGAGTCAGCTCACACCTGCCCCTTAAACACTGTTTTACTGTAACGTCAACCTGCCATTCACACACCTGAGGTTCCTTTGACTCTCTGTCTCTTGGCTCTGAGAGACGTCCATCTCCGAGTCCTCGGGTACCTTCCTCTTCTTATCCTTCATCAGAATCTACAAAGTCATACCAAATTACACTAAACGCAAATGACAACGAACTACTATCAGTTCTAGATGTGAACAGTTACATACCTTTTTGAAATACGCAAACTGCATGAGTTCAAGTGCAGCTTCTGCATCTCCCAGATCGATGGTTTTACTCATGCGGGCCTTGGCGTGTGCTGTAGACAATCGAATCATGGTCTCCAGAGCTCGAGCAGTCACAGGCATCGTCTGTGGGAATGGACACAGTCGGTCTATTCCAAACCAAGCACTCCCAGAGTGACAGTAGTATGATGTATAATATAAACGCATCCATTTATGTGCAAAACTTTGTTGTATGATGTGATGCGGTGGTGCTCTACAGACCCTGGCGGAGTCACTGTTGACTTGGTCATGGCTCCGGAGTCTGGAATACTCCTCTGCTATGTAGTCCGACGCCTCCTGTGTGAGGACTGGCTTCACCAGCTTAGCAACATGGATGTACTTCCTGATGAACTCCATGGTAACAATCTTCTCCCTTTCAAATGATTATGAGCAGCACCACACAAACCCAATGGATTATGGTAGACTGACAACGTTACACAACTTTCTAAGGAAACATATGAAGAAATGTGTACTTTTTCTTCCTGTGGCCATGCAGGACGTTGTCTTTTTTCTCAAAGATCTGTAGCTCCTGCTCAGCTGCTTCTGTGATGTTTGGGTCTTCTGTGGCGAATACATCTACTGTACTTCCCAGTGGCATTGCTGTTGGTATAGACATGACAGAATGAGAGCAACAGTTGACTAAAGCTGAAAACTGAAGAGCGTAGATCTCAAACTGTGGTCCATGAGACATTCCAAGTGGTGCACAGGTTACAGTAAATGTAATACAATGTAATGTAAATGTACGGTATGTGTGTGCAGTGTTGTGCCTGAACACGTTCATTGAACGATATGTGCGTGTGTGTTCTGACGCCAGATAACATTAGTGGTAGAAGTGTAAACATGTTTATAGGTGTATTTTTATTTCAGTTAGATTTAAAGGAAAGAATTCTAGGCTATGTTATTCTATTTTAGCATATTTGAAATGCTTTAATTAGTTTCAGTTTTGTTAAAACCAAAACATTGAATCAAACAGATTTATTTTATTTCGAATCAAATAACGACACAAATATTAAATCGTGCCTCTAGCAGTTTATTTGTGACATTTGGAAAAACATTTATCCATTACCAAATGTTTATTTTATATTTCTTTAGAAAGAATGGTAATTTCTATTAATTTCCCCCAGGCGAGTCAAGCTACGCCCGTGAGTCTCACCCGTTCCCTCCGGCTCTCCCGGCGTTCTGTACCGATGCATCCGCAGCACATGCTCCGAGATCTCCCGATCGCTATCTGGATCCATCTGATCTAGAACTATGAAGAGCAGATCAAATCGGGAAAGCAAGGAATCCTGGAGCCCGATGTTCTCCATTGGGGTTTTATACTGGTCATACTGGGTGAAGAATACAGTAGGATTATTAGAAAGTAGAAACTAAAGCAAACCAACTAGCCCTATATATTTTAACCAATCAAGCCAATAGTCATTTACCCTTCCATACACGGGGTTAGCAGCAGCTAACACGCTGCAGCGAGCATTAAGCCTGGCCTGAATCCCAGCTTTGGAAATGGTGACCCTTCCCTGCTCCATGACCTCATGGATGGCTGTTCGGTCCATGTCAGACATCTTATCAAATTCATCAATGCACACCACACCTCTGTCAGCAAGAACCATGGCTCCGGCCTCCAAACGACGCTCACCTGGATAAGCCAAATAAAACGCACTTTTAAAGTTTTTCGTTTCATCATGCCAATTTTAAGATGCCGTTGTTGTCAGATTTCTACTCGGGGGTATTTCCACTATACACAATGAGTGAAATGATTTGCCCTAGACTTTTGTCTAGAAATGTCTGCTTTTTTGGGTGAACATATGCATGTGTACTTGTCAACAGATGTTAAAAGAGTTACCCGTCTCTTGATCAGTTGTAACCGCTGCTGTCAGACCCACCCCAGATGAGCCTCGTCCAGTGGTGGGAATCGCCCTTGGTGCCGTGAACAAAACATAGCGGAGCAACTGAGACTTCGCTACTGAAGGATCACCTGAAAACAGTCAAATGAAAAACACTGCACTATGGAGCCAGAAATTACTTACAAAAAAAACTTGAATCTATTTACATAAAGGTTTAATTTATATAAATATACAGTGTTGACTCCAGTGTTTCTTAACATGTTAAGATGTTTAAGAGATACTTGACTCTGCCACGAGGAGCTTAGCGGTGGTTATTTAAGTTAAATGTATTTATGTAATCTATATATTCATATAAATGTAATATTTATTATAAATTGAATCTAGGTTTAATGCATTTATACAAATGTAATATATTTATATAAATGTATTTCTTATTTATTAATAATTGATTCCATAAACTAATCAGAAAATTAAATACAAAAAAAATTTGTATATAATAAAACACTTTTATTGATTAAATGTATAAGAGATTTAATGTAAAAAAAAAAATCAAATAATTCTTAAATAAAATAAATGGATTAAATTTGTAGGTTAATCTACTAAAATTAATTGATTAAATTGAACTCAACTATAAATAGATTAAATACATAAATGTATACAAATAAATTCACATAAGAAATACATTTATATAAATAGAATACCTTTGTATAAATAGATTAATCTTAAGGATAACATTTATTTAAAATATTTAATTATATATAAAAAAATAAATTTAAATGACTAAAATCACTCGATACAGCACCAGAAACTCATTCAAATTATAATAAACACTGCAAAAGTCCAGACTTTTAATGCTCTTCTGACTTTTAACTAGATAAATGTAATTTTATACATATTCACAAAATGCACACAAAAGAGCAAATCACTTGCAGATTGCTCAAAGTGTGTGCTCGGCCAAAAATAACTTAAAAAAGATTAATAATAAACTCAGCACACCTCAGCTCCAAAAAACATTGACGTTTATTAACAGACTCTGACAAAGGTGGCGTTTCAGGCACACAGGCTCTTCATCACAAACGTCACCTTTGTGAGAATCTGGTAATAAACTTCAATATTCTTGGAGCTGAGGTATGCCGACTCGATTTTTTTTCTGTTATACATTTTCACAAAACCATAATCATAAACATCACAAACCTATGAGCAGGATATTGATGTCTCCTCTGATGCGTGTCCCATTCTCCAGGTTGGTCTCATTGCCTCCCAACAGCAGACACAGAATAGCTTTCTTTATGTACTCATGGCCATGGATACTGGGAGCCAAAGAATGACTCAGTTGCTCAAAGACATTCTGAAACATAACAATAATCTTACCTTGCACAGCAAAGATGAAACTGATCAGGGCAGCATTTCACAAAAACATAGCAAACCAAAACACTTTGTAGAAACCATTAATACTCTATGGTCTAATTTGAGAACTGCAGCCAAGTTTAGAATAAAACACATATGCGTCTCTCTTACTTTAGAATGAGCTTTGCAAAACTTCTTGATCTTGGCAACATCATCCGCAGAGAACGTCGGCACAATCTCTTTACTCATAAGCTTCACATTGTTAGCCAACATGATTGTTCTGCAAAGAATCAAGAGGTTCATCTGAGGACATGACCTTCCAACCCGATCAGAAGTTCAAATATACACACACCTGAAGGTCCCAGAGGTAAAGCCACCCTGTTTCGCAGGCAAGCAACGGTAGACCCCTACAATCTGCACACGGTCACCTGGTTTCACCCGGTCAACGAGGTCATCATTGGCGATGATGTCGACAGATCGTGGCAGCTGTCCTGCAGGGGCTCTCTCAGGCATCTCCTGAATGGTCAGCGTCTGGTGGTCCTTATAGCAGCAAAGCCCAAACTCCGTCTCCAGAGGATTGTTTTCTTCATCCTACAAATGTAAGATTTATTTTGATTCTTGTGTCATCATAATACTAAATCACTGGTTATCATGGCATGATCATTTACTGTGATATGGTCAACTTGCTCCTGGATAAACATCCATGTTTCAATGATAAGAATGGGTTACAGGAGCAACTAAAGATGTTGATGCAGGAACACAACTTTCTACATTTATTACAATGTTTATTAATTATAATAATTTAATGCATGTAATTAGATAAATTGTTAAATGATATAAATAGCTTAATAAATTAATCTGTATTTAAATGTATTCATGTTTAACTATATTAATGTATTAAATATTTATTTAAATAGTTGAATAGCTTAATAAATACATGTATTAATTTGTTAAATATTACATAGTTGAATAAATAGTTTATTAGTTTAATAAATAAATACACTTATAAATAAATATATTTAATCCTTAAATGCATGAATGTTTCACCAATCAATCATTATTAAATATTTGGGTCTTTAGCGACTAAATCTAATGGACATCTACCTCTATCTAATGGACATCTACCTGTTGTGATAATAATTTTAAAAACTCTCCTGATATTAGAGTAACAATTACAGAAGAATAAAAGAAAGCATATTTTGCTACCTTTTGGAGCTTGGAAGGGTTCAGTTTGAGCAGATGTTTTATACCATCATCACTGTCCTCATCATAGCTCATTTCCATATTTAGCATCTGGCTCATATTCACAATCTCAAACATTTTCTTAAAACTATAAATTTCAACATCTTAAAAATCAATATTTTGATCGCTGTCAGCTTCTTCACCAGATCCACCATCAAGTGACACTAATATTTGATTGCTTTCAGTAATTGCTTTGCAGTAAATCGCTGAGCCATTTTAAGTTTTACTGATGAAACTTCCTATTCTTTTGTTTTCTGCCTGCGGTGACTATGAGTGAAACGTCACTTCATCATTGTGTATTGGATATTACCACCTTGTGGAATAAAGGTGAATTGCACTTATTTAGTAATCAAAGATTCAATTATTTTTATGCAGAAAAATATCCTTACACTGTTACACATCTCGGGTCGTTAGCAACCCTATACAATTTTTACAAAAAATATATATGGAAAAACAGGCATTTAAAAAAAATCTTGTTATATTGTTTATAATGAATTGATTGAGGAATAAGAAGGTTGATGTCGAACTTAATAAATAAACAAATACATTTTGAATAAATAAACTACAAATATAAATTATAAATAAATATTTTTAACTTTTTTATTTTGTTAAATAGTTCAATTTAAATGGTTAAATAGTTTATAAATAATATACAAATAAAGTTTCATAAATGGTTTAATAGATTATATTAACAAATAGTTAAATAAAATAACTTTTATTTTGTTAAAAAAAATGAATGGTTAAATAGTTTATAAGTAATAAATAAACCATACAAATGTAACTTACTTTGGTTGGATAGATGGCACTGGAAGGAAAAGCATCCAATGAGGTAAGATCAGTGTATTTTCGTTCCAAGGTTTTCTTGGTGGCTGGACAGTAGTGGACACTACGCATAATCTTGGGCCTGACCAAGGAACCTACAGATCACATGAAAATACAAATTAGAAAAGATAACTTAACAAGCAAGGTTTAAGCTATAGTCCAAGACTGAAATGCATGTGAGCGGTTTTAACTGAAAGCAACTTGCACTAATATATCTCAAAATATGTCAATGCCATTGTTTTGTCTCAAGATGCACACCAGTAATGTTTTTTTGTAAGGCAGCCACTTAAATGTCCTAATTGAACTGAGGCCTAATCCTGGCTTAATCTTAACCATGTCTCTGAAACCGGGCCCTTTTGCTCAACTTAATATAATGCATAAACATCCACATCACATAGATCTATACTAAGTGCGAATCCAACAACATTGTATTTTTAACAATTTGAAAAGATTAGTTAAATCTAACAATAATAATTTGTGAAATTAAGTAAATCCTACTCACACTTGGTCACAATTCCTTCCACACACACGAGATTTCCCAGAAAGCGTGCACTTAGAGTACGTGGAGACACATGTTTGTTCCCAAAGCTGCCCTCAAAACCAACGTGGAACTCTTCAAACTGCTTCGCGTAAGTGGCGTCTATTGAACCCACAAGGTCATTCAGGGCTTTCTGGAACGCCACCAGCTCAGCAAAAGCATTCTTCAGTAATCTATTGAGAAGAGACCATTAATCAGATCAGTGTCAGAAGATTCAGGGATCAGATCATGGTCAAAGATATGAGAAAATTGTGAATAAAACGAGAACATTTGTTTTATTCATTTTTAAAATAATGCTCACTCTTTGGCTCTTTTTTCACTTTTTCGTCGCAGGTCATTAATGTTAACAATAAGGCGACACTGGCCCTCAGACACCATACTCCTGACCTTCTCATGATAAATACCCTGGTCTTGCTGTAAATGACAAAATGATTCAGTGTTTGCACAAATCAAAAGACCCACAACAGGTAAAAAAAAAAAAAAAAACCCAGAAAGACACCGAATAAAATACTTCACATCATCATCCAAAAAGTCCAGATACTCCCTCTGTGACTCTCTCAGCTCAAGGTCCTCAAGCCCAGAATCCATTTCTACTACACCCGTGTCAGCGTGTACATTACAAAAAAACTACAATATCTAATCATTTGGAATTCAACATGAAAAGCCAAACACACAAACATAAAACACAATCAAATGTCTGTCTTGGAAACCAGGTGGAACCACAGGCCTGCCAATCAATTATGTTAATTAGGTGCATTAACCTATCCAGAGCCTCTGATCATCAATTAGGCTATACAACTGCAGAGAGCTGCTTCCAACTATCTGTTGAACATAAAGATGAATTTGATAACAGTGTCTTCTTTTTAAAGAGATGAATGGCTTACATTTATTGTGCAGTGACTTGGTTCTTTAAAGTGCACCGCTTGCTTGAACCAAAACAATGGCAGAGCAGATGAATGTGGTGCTTGTGAAATACCAAGTCACACACAGTCTTTTTGTAACGACCCCCACAGAATTATGTGATTCTTTTATACTGTATTCGACAAAGCCTAGCCAGTGAACACACATCTGAGACATTTACGTGGATTCATAATAGGAACCCATAAAGACATTACAGTGTATTAATCTGACAATGACTTATTCATTGAGTTTATTTCGTATTTACAGTTGACACTGACACATAGTTGCATAATGCGCAAATAAATGACCTAATGTTATTTTATTACGACATTCCAGAAGGAAGGTGCCTTAGGGCCTAGGCAACAACACATTTCAAGTGGTGTTTATGGCTGCATCCGAAATCGCATACTTTTTTACTTCCCTACTATTGTCATTCACTGTTTTGCATTAATAGAAAGCCAGTTAATGTAAAGATGTGTAATACAAAGTGTTTTTCCAAAATTATGTTTAAATAGTATTTTCGTGACGTGACTACAGGGGGAGAAACATTTATGACGTAGCCACGCGCACTGACTAGACCGTGTCATTTTAGCGTTTAATGCTGAGGAGACAAGCCTACAAGTCTTACTAGGAGTGAAGGACTGAACTAGGAAGGACGCAGTCTCGGTAGGATGCAGTGTTCCGTTTGAGAAACACCCGACCCTGGGTCACATGACAACATGGCGGATGTAGTCCGTCCAGATTGTTCATTCACACACTCATTCATACCCTTGATAGCACAATTACATCTCGGAGAGGTCTATTTGATGTCTGCAAGATGTATTTTTTAGAGTGTTTGTTCATCTGCAATACGTCTGACGTTTCAGTGATGTCATATAAACAATTTAGAAGAAGTCTTTAAGATGTTTAAGATTTAGAATGTAGGCCTATGTAAAACTACTTTTTCTAAGATGCTTATCAGGTGTTTTTACAGTAGATGATTTCCAGATTAACAGATCTTTAGCAGACATTTTGTGCTATCTGGGTTTAGAACATGCTTTTTTTTAGCGGTCTTGAAGTAGGCTAGCCTATAAGCTTTACTTATTCAAAAATAAACGTGCACCGTTTCGAAACTTGTCAGTGTGCACCCTCAGTGATCAACTCAGTGAATTAATCTTTTTAGTGAACTGATTCAAAAGAATCGAGTCGCTGGGATGAATCAAACCCAATGGATTCCTCTTCATTGGCGTAGGTTTAGATCCAAACAGAGCCGCTTCTGTTGCGGACACAAGTCTATGATCTTAGTCAGCGGTCTGCCGTGACCCTTGCTCCCGTTATCACGGATTGGATCTTTTAGGACAGATCGAATAAGCGACCGCACAGATAAACTTTGACAGTGCGTTTTAGAGTAGCCGCGTGTGTCACCTGCTCATCCCCACCCATTTTACAGGTAATCATCGCGAGATTTCACTGACGGGTTTCGGTCTCGTGTCTGTGGGAAGTGGAGTTTTTATTTGGAAAACCAAAACAAATGTGATCGGCGCCTTTTAAGCAAGTAAGTTATCTTTGTGCGGTGTGTTTACAAACATTGTTTGGTAGGCTATATTTGTTCAGAAAAAACGAAAGTGTATTGTTGTTCTTGCTGATGTCAACCGAAACAAAAGACAGGTGGAACTTACCGAGACGCTCCGGTTGCTTTGCGTTAAATTGAGGCAGAAAGCTGAAACATTTGTGTTAAAAGAACCCCTTACGAAAATGAACTATGTTTTTATTAAAGTAAAAGTGTAGTAGGCTAACCATGTTTTTTTTTTAGTTTTTTTTTGGCGGATTGATTACTAGTTGTATAACCACAGTTTTACTACAAATGCTATGGTTAAACAATGGTTAGTGTTTAGCTATATTAAACGTTTTTTTTTTGGTTTTATTTGTCATAAAACCATGGTTAATTTTCGGAATTGACGGTTATGATGATAGTACGATTGTCTTGTAGCTATTTTTAAAATACAGTCTACTAAAAAATATTTGCTGAAATTTTAATGATAATGTGAATTTTACTCTATATATCCAAAGTCCACGAAACCCTGGATGTTACTGTGAGTCTGTGGCAGATAATCATTCACTTTAGGCTATAAAAATGTATAGACCTATACTTAATAATACTTAATACATAAATAATATGCATGTATGTGTATGTCATTAATGAAAAGTATTAAACCCCTTTTTATATTGGGATATCTCGATTCCCTCAAAGTCTGGCCGGGGTCCCCTGGTTCTGTAAAATTCGAAAACCTCTGCTATAAACACATAATACACCAAATCATGTTTCCCTCATGAAGCAATGAGCCAGCCGTCCAGAAACCAGCGTGCACAGAGAGAGAGAAATGGTGGTAATAGAGACAGAGATCCCCACACCCGACGGGACAATCCTAGTGACCGACGATCAGGCAGTGAGAGGTGAGATGACATACTAACTGTTCAAACAAGCAACAACACACAAATATTCACTGTAAAAAAAATTAAGAAAAGGAAGTCATTTTTTGCTTTGTATATTTTACGTCATTACAAGCCATGGTTTTAAATATGCTGTATCTGACACTGGTCTTACAGCCAGCCCCCGCTCTACCCCAGAAATGATCAGAGATCTGTGAGGAGCGCTCCTCGAGAGCAACACCGGGAGTCAAAGTGCTCTCACGTCTGTTCCAGGAGAGGTAAGCATTCACAGATGGCCAGAACAATCAATGGATGGGAGACAAATGTTGCAGTATGCATGTTGGAATGCAACCAATGCATCTAAACAACTGCGTCAAAGAGTCTAAACCTGTTTCATGTAATTCTCTGAATTTGGGTGTCAAGTTTGGGATCATGATTTTTTTCAAACATGATCTCACACAGGTCTGGTTTTACTCTAGCTCAAGCCGCACCTTCTGACACGACACTATGCATTTACTCCTTTCCTCGTCTCAGCTGGTCTAACCGGTTTAGCTTTTTTAAGCTTGTTGATACTAATCTTTCATTTACAAACCTTTACTGTTTTCCATCGAGCAGACATGCAACATTTTGTCCTCACTCTTGTTTGAACAAACGCATACACCAGGTATAGCATATGCATATTTAAATGAACTCTAACATGGTCTCAGATTGTTTTAAAATTATATTGTTAATATTATAAATATAAAATTGTATTAAGTTATATTCTTTTGTAATATTGTTTATATTGTTTTTCAAAAATTAAATTATATATCTTTTAAATATTAAATATATTTTTGTTGTTCACTTGATATTATGTTAGCTGGTGACCTTTTATAGAGTGCAAGAGCGTCTGGCCCTCTTTTTCAGCAGCGCTTGTTCAGGAAGTATATTTTCCATACATTTTTTCCATAAGGATTTTAAAAAAAGTCTTCATTAAAGAGTTATAAGTCACGAACCAAGCCAATCAGCGACAAGGTGAATCACAACACTATAAACTTGTGATTTGAAGCAAAAAAGTTTTTGAAAATCAGACAAAAAGAAAAAGGTACAAGACTATGTACTTAACGACTTTAGTGAGGGAAAGAACTACAATCCCATCAAGCATTGCGAACAGCATAAAAAAATTAAAAACTATGGAGAAATTTAAAACTACTCATTTACAAATTATGATTTTATATTTACTGTGTACATCTCTGATTGGTGTTTTTTTTCTGTACAGCATCATGGGTAATGTAGTTTTTCACTGTTAAATTATTTTTAAAATAATAAGCTGAAGTAATTTGGGTTGACGTCTTCAGCAGAAGCAAATGCCATGGATTAACATTTTCGTAGCTCATAACAGGGCTGTCTTTAAAGGTTTATAAGATATCCTTCAAAATTCAATCAATATTCATTCAATTTCCCCATGGAGTTTTTAATTCCAGAACCTGTCTGTTGCACTCTATTGGCATACTTGTAAAAACACAAATGCACAATAAGATGACACGCATGCACAATTTGTCACTCTTCCACACGCATATGATACAAATATGGTCAGTTGTACACAATAACAGTACATTGTGTAATTTAAGGGCACTGCAGATATATTGATTTTTATAAAAAAAAAGGGATATCAACCTTTTTGACTCAAATGCCCCTTATTGTCCAACTCAATATTCTAGGGTCCCCATATTGCCCCCATAATTAATCTCTTATTTTTGATGCTTTTTAAACTTTTGATATATTAAATTAATATGTTCAACATGTTTCATTTAGGGATTCTATGTATGTTCTCTAAAAAAAACTATAGTTATTGAGGGATAAAAATAAAAATGTAGCATTCTTTTTCACCATTAAATTCAAATGTACCTTGTTTAATAATTGTATGGAATGATTTTCTGTTTTTGAATAATATTTTTTTCTGAAAAGAGCTTTACAAAAAAATTGTTTTAAATTAAATAATGCTTCTTTTATATTCTAATATTGGATAAAAACTAGATACCCTGACAACTTAATATGACATAAATGTGTATATATATATATCTTTGTGCAGTAAATAATATTTGTTTGTTTGTAAGTTCATGCATTCGCATTGATCACATGACCTTGGTGTTGCTAGCACCATCCTCTGCTGTTTGACCGACAGGAGGGCGTAAATTAATATTATAATTTAAATTTGCAAACATGTTTATGATTCTGCTGTACTTAAAAACATATAGCTGCATTTAATTTTGGGAAGAGGGTCCCTCACCAGATGATCATCATATTTGGGGGTTTTTAGGCATTAAAAAGTTAGAAAACCCCTGCCCTAAAGATTCCTTCTTATGTATTTGCATGTGTTTCTGTGTGTGTTTCAGGTATCGTGTTGTTATGTTCCATCCTGACCAATGTGTTGGTGCTCATCTGCGTGGTGGCTGCTCACATGTCACAGATGGGAATGTCTGCGATGGGTATGGGCGGCGGAAGCTTTATCGACGCCATGATTCCTTTTGAGGGGACGGAGCTGCAGAAGGTGCGTGAACTTGACATGCAGTTCGGACAAATGAGAGCACCTCTAGTCTATGGAGGCGTGGCCTTCAGCCTCACATTTGGTGTTCTTTCACTCCTGTTCGTTGTGTCCGGCAACAAACCCGCCCACAGGCTTCCACGGAAGATCCTGATTGGACAGTTTTCGTTCCAGATCATTGGTGCAGTGGCTTACGTGGTTGCTGTTGGTTTGTACCTGCATTTCGTGATCTATGTGAACTCAACCGACATGTGCCTTCAACGCGAACGACTGTATGCTCGTAACGGATATACCTGGATGAACTGTAGCGTAAACGGGGGGGATGCATCCGTCGCACTATTTGGAATCATAACCGCAATTCTTTATGCTGCTGGCACCTTTTTAACGGGAAAAACAATCCAGGAAGTCAGAAGTTACTTTAAGGACCGTGACCGTTACAAAGCCGAACGAAGAGAGGAAACCAGAGGTCCCCAAGAAAGAACTGTTAATTCTGACCTCTATGTCTGAGTTGTGCTGCAGAAATGTGAACTGAAACCTTCTCGACTGGATGTACATAAACTGTTTTTAATTTCTTTAACTTTTTTTTTTTTTTTTACATTTCTAAAATGTTTGGCTTTTTTTAGTGTAATTAGTTTTATTTTAGTACATATTTCAGTTAATATTGTATAAATCCTGCGTAAAATAAAAATTAAGCTGTGGCATTTAGCCTCATGAATAAAAAAAAATTCTGTTAACTGTTTTGATGAAAAAGTTCAATCAATAGATATTAGTAGAATTATGTCATTTTTGGATATGAAATTTCAAATTTGGCATTGAATATTGAGATATGTGCTGAATATTTTAAAGGGATAGTTCACCCAAAAAACGAAAATTCTGTCATTTACTCACAAACCTGTATGCCTTTCACAGAAGAAGATATTTTGAAGACTCTGCAATGGTTTGTTTTGGTTACCATTGACTTCCATTGTAGGGTAAAAATGCTGAGACATTTCTCAAAATATCTTCTTTTATGTTCCCCAGAAAAAAAGAAATTCATAAAGGTTTGGAATGAGATGTCTAAATAAATGATTTTGGGTGAACTATATTAATTCTCTATGGCTGATTGTCCAATAGGGGGCAGCAGATACACATGCAATTCTGGCCCCTAAGTCTGACCTCACATTTACTATGATATATGTCCTTAAATAGCATTACAGCTGAATATGACGATAAATGTAATCTTTTTCTTGATGTTATTAAAAAAATATTTTGAAGATTCCTTATGGATATAAAGTTGTTTGGAATGAAATAGTAGATAAGCAATAACTGGAAGAACCTCAAAACAAATTTGTGTTTCCACTGTTTAGCTGTCACACTCTTAGAGCTGTTTTCAGTTTGTGATTGACCGGCATAATCACACACAGCTCTAGATACAGCAGGAATGTAGAATGCACATGCTGGTAATATTTAACCATTATGACCCAGTTACAGTCAAAGCATGGAAAAAAAACAAAACATGTGGGCTCACATAATTTCAATTATTTAGAAATCAATGTATCACTATGATAAATGTTTGTATTTGACCTGTTTTATATCAGGTCTGGCCTTTCCAACACGCAAAGAAAAAAGAAGTGTCCAGTATTACTACATCACATGTCCATATGTGACTCAGGGCTTTTTCTTTGTAATAGGGAGATGTGTTCCCCTGGTAGTGTTTCTTTACTCATGCTTGCCACACAACAAGTGCTGACAACGGGTGAACACACACATACATAACAACGGCCAAAGTACATGTGAGCTCAGTCACGGACCAGACAAAGCCTTTTGCTACCTTTCTTTTCTCTTTCCGTATTCACAGACGTTCAGAAGTTTACCGAGAGGAGATTTCAGCCAGACAGAAGGGTGAGTTCTTTCAGCTGGTTTCTATATATAGTATTTCAATGAAGACAGCACTCAGGTGAGCGATCATTTGTGTTTTGTTTCTTTTTCTTAACGGATCTAGTTAGAGGGTGAAGGTTAAACAGGTTGGCAGATTAAACATACTGTAGATAAGTGACCAGACGCACGTCCGCATGGAGCACATGGTGTTGGTGTGCAGTGCTGAAAGTGAAGGTGGATGAACTTTAAGAAATCTAATCTGGTGTGAACAGGGAACAAGGTGAGCAGATCAGTCGTGTAAGCCTTTATACACAATCTAAAGTTATAATATTCTCCATTTTGCAGTAAATGGACAAAAAAATCAACCTTTGCTAGAAGTGGAGAATGGGTATGTTTGGAAGCAGGTATTTATACTGGGACGTAAATTGAAGCGAGAAGTGAAATCATTGTAAAGTCCTCTTTGTCTCTGTGTTGTCAATAGGTGTGTCCACTTTTGTGTCAGGTCAACTCAAAAGAAGTGGTCTGATTGGTTAATTTTGAGTCTCACTTCAGTTCAGTGGATCTGTTTTGCCTCTCCACCATCACATGACAGGGGTCAGACAAATGTCATTTAAGAGACTCACTGGCTGTCATGCGTTTATGTATTGTAAGCTGTGTAGTCTTGTGCGCTACATGTGTTAGAGGTCTTTTTTTTATTCATTTGAACTTTATAAAAGCATTATTTCTGACACTGATCCCATATATTGTAGCCTGAAGTGCAGTAGTAATATGAGCCAAACTGGTCTTTTCTTTTTCTAGAGGAAGAGAGATACTGAATGAAAAGAATAGAGGAAGCATCCTTGGTGTGAAAGAGAGAATGTGTCCAAGCTAAATATTTTTATCTTGTGACTCTGAGTCCTTGATGAGGGAACTGTGGTTGCTTATTCAGACTGTGGTTTCAGTTTCATTTATGCATGTATTTTTAAATGCTTCTTTTTTAAATGATCCTCTCAAAAGTTTGGGGCCCGTAAGATTTTCTTTTCTTTTTCTTCTTTTTGCTTTTATTCAGCAAGGATGGATTAAATAAAAGTGACAGACATTTAGATAAAGTCATTTAAATTGTTACAAAACTATATTTATCCTATACATTCTGTTCTTTTGAACTTTTTAATAAGAGCATTGAAAAAAAATATATATATATCAGTTTCCAAAAAAAAACAAGACGAATTGATGCTGTATTGGCTGAAAAAGGAGGCTCTACACCATACTAATAAATAATTGTGGTCTAAAACCACTCGGAACCTACAGATTTTCATATATTAAAGTTGCAGTTTAACATAAAGATTTATATGGAAATTAATTGATGCAAAAAGTTCTGCATGTCTTAGAAACTGTCTTTTTCCTGTAGTTCCAACCAGTGCCGCTCTTCCATGGATCCTTGCAGATTTGCTCATCCCTACATGCCAAAATTGTAAAGAGTCCTAACTGAATCCAGTCTCATCCTCTCTGCAGATCTCCTCACATGAGGGAACACCACTGTGATGGCGGAGGGATATGAATTTGACCTGAACTACGTTACGGAGCGCATCATTGGTGTCACATTCCACCAATCCTGCGCAGAGCAGACGTACCGGCACAACCTGCGCAGCATCACGCAGATGCTGCAGTCCAAACATGCTGATCAATACATGGTGAGAAAAACAAACACATCACATGTCTCTGTGTGTCTGTTGACTGACTGTGTCAGAGTGTTACTCTTGGGGACACGTGGAACAAAATCTTTATTTTCCTGCACGCAGGTCATCAACTTATCCGAACACAGTGACGATCTCAGCAGAATGAATCACAGGGTAAAGTTAAAATGTGTCATGTGACTGACGTTACAGATGTGTGATGGAATGTGCACTGCCATTCAAAACTTTGGGGTCATTTTTAATGTTTTTGAAAACATGTTTTGCTCACCAAGGCTGAAACGTATTTTTAAAAATAACTTTTAAACTTTTTAAACTTACAATTTAAAATAAGTTTTCTGTTTGAATATATTTAAAATGTCATTTATTTCTGTGATCAAAGCTGAATTTTCAGCATCATTACTCCAGTCTTCAGTGTCACATGATCCTTCAGAAATCACTCTATGCTGATTTGCTGCTGAAGAAATTTCTTCTTATCAGTGTTGAAAACTCAAACTGACCCCAAACATTTGAACGGCAGTATATGTATAACTGTTGGCTCACATCTCTGACTGTTAGGTGGTGGATTTGGGCTGGGCGGAGAGTCACGCTCCATCACTCCATCTGCTGTGTTCTCTGTGTAAAAACATGAACAACTGGCTTAATGCGCATCCTGAAAATGTGCTGCTGCTGCACTGCAAAGTGAGATTTAAAGTTATTTGCACTTTATTCTCAGGTTAAAAGTCCATTATTTATCCCTGCGTCCTATAGGAATGTCACACTTGGTTAACATTCTCCTGTCTCTTTCATATAGGGCAGCAAAGACAGGGTGGGTGTGGTAATATCCTCTTACATCCAACTATCTAATGTTTCCACCAGGTACAACTTAATTCATATCCTTTGTTAACAAGTCAAAATATCTTTATAAGACAATTGCCTTCTCAGAAAAGCTGCTTAAAGGGAAAGTTCACCACAAAAATGACAATTGTTACTATTAGGATTTACTTACCCTCATGTCGTTCCAAACCTGTATGATTTTCTGTGTGATTATAATAAATGGCCACTGGAGCTTTCAAGCTTTGAAAAGCACTCAAATGCACAATAAAAAGTAGTCTATATGGATTATAGCCTACACTATGGGCCCGATTTACTAATAGCTTGCGCCAGTGCAAACCCTCTTTTGGCATTAAAAAACTACTGTCACGATTTACTAAAGACACGCAGTGAAAAATAAGCGCTGAAAAGGCTCGGACAGGGTTTTTTTTGCGACTGACCTTATTGCATTTGTAGAAGTTTCCCTTCAAGACGCAAAATTTATGGGAGGAGACTATTTAAAGGTGCTCTATGTAACTTTTAGCGGCCTCTAGTGGTGATGTTTCAGATTGCAACCAAATTTTACAAGAGCGGCTCGTGCTCGAACTCATAGACAATACCGTCTATTACGCAAATATCTCGGCGAATACTAGACGGATTCAGCGAGCACCGAGCTCGTTGGGACCATCTAGTCGAGCTGAAAAGAACCATATAAGTTCCATAGTTTTTGTGGTGTTTTCGCGGAGATATTAGCAGAAAACCATCGGGCGCGCTGCAAAATTGCGGATGCCGGTGACGTCACGATCTCAGAAGAAAATCGCTCGTATCTCTGGAACGCAAAGACCCAGAGAGCTCAAATTCGGGGGAGGAGGTCCCAGGGGAACCCTTGCCCGAACGCTAGAGAGGCGGGCCTCGGGGATGCCCCCTACCGGATCGCCGTTCGCTGGGACCCCCGCTTTCGAACCGCTATAACTCGGGGAGCCGGGCGAGTTGGACCTCGGGGGTGGGCTCGTTCGAAAGGCCCCGTCCAGCACTACGAACGATTAGAGTCTTGGGAATATTGATCAAAGATTGACTGAGATATAAGCCGAAAAACGGGCGCCTTTAACCGGACGTAACTCCCTGACCGTCTACAATAGACTGTATATAAGGAGAGAGGCTCGGGAGCGCGCATGCACGTCACATCCGTTGGATTTCGCGGTAAA